GGGAAAGCGGAGAAACCGAGGTTCGGTTGATTTGCCGCGGTTTGAATTATCTGGACGGTGATTGGTTGGAAGATGAGTGCCTGAGGTGTCTATTTTATATGAGGCTATTCAACTACATTATCCGTTCTACTCTCGACTCTTCTCTCCAGCCGCCCCCTGCCCCTTCGTTACCTTGCGATCCAACCCTAGACTCTCCAAATCCTTCTTCTTATAGTAATGCGGCGCAACCTCTACCAGCCACTCTGGCTGCAGCGGCATATTACTGCGCATGTACTCCTTGCTGGTAAGCACTAACTCGAAGTAGATGACCCAGCGAGGGTTAATCTCCATAAGTGTACTAGACGGATGCAAGTATACCGACTGTCCATTCTTGATAGTGCGGTAACTGTCACCGCCACGCTGGAGTCGCGCCGCATTGGGGAAGAACCCAGCCGTGATGGCCTTCTGGATTGGCTGGATATTCGTAGACCCACAGGTACTGACAGCCACCTCGACACGGTCGCACAGTTTGGCAAGCTGATCGCGCACATCGCGCGCCCGCGTCAGACTGCGCTGCTGCAGGAAGTTCTCTTTCGCCCAGATTATGCTAAAGTCCGAGTCGACCCATTGGTTCCAGACGTTCAGTAGCGTCAAATGGTCACCGCCTTCTTTGATGGTGAAGCGATTGCGCGCACTGTCCGCATGGATCTTCTTATCCTTGGGTCGGAAGAAGAGTGCGCTGCCTTCGCCGAGCATCGACACGATCGACAGCACTTCTTCTACGCATCCGTATTTGTCGGCGGCAAGGATCGCCTTGGCGAGCATCGGGTCCGTTGGGAACTCGGCCATCTGCCGGCCGACCTTGGTCAGCTCGCCTCGGTCGTTGAGTGCCCCGAGCGCATACAGTTGCTCTAGAGCGCGGATGATGGTCTCCGCCGGCGGAGGGTCCATAAAGTCAAAGTCGAGTAGTTGGTCGATTCCCAGCGACTTCAACATCAGAATCACACCGTTCAAGTTGGTACGTTGGATCTCCGGGGTAGTGTTCTCTTCCAGTTCGTTATAGTACGCCCACTTGGTATACAGGCGGAAACACTTGCCCGGGCCGACACGCCCAGCACGTCCGGCTCGCTGGTTGGCCGAGGCACGCGAACACGGCGTCACGACCAAGCTTTCCATTCCACTGCGTGGATTGAACACGTTCTCCTTGACAAATCCGGGATCAATCACGTAGACAATACCATCGATGGTCAAACTAGTTTCAGCGATATTAGTGGCAAGCACCACTTTTCGCGCATTAGGCGGAGTCGGCTCGAAAATCTTAGTCTGCAGTTCAGATGGCAGGTTGGCGTAGATAGGAGCAATAATCATCTCCGGAATCTTACTCCCAAGTTTTCGAGCCGTTTCCTGTAAGCTTTGCTCGGCGGCCTCGATTTCCTCTTGTCCAGTCAAGAAGACCAAAATATCTCCAGGGCCTTGCGTGACATGGATCTGGAAGACCGTTGTAATGGCTGCGGCGAGGTAGTTGGCTTCAGGTTGTGAAGTGTAGTGCACGTCGACAGGGTATCGGCGACCAGGAATATTGAAAATGGGCGCATCGTCGAAATACTTCTGGAACTTCTGGGCATCCATCGTCGCCGAAGAAATTAGCAGCTTCAGATCAGGTCGAGCTTTCGCAATATCCTTGAGCAGACCACAAGCGATATCGGTGGGCACCGTTCGTTCGTGCGCCTCGTCAATCATCAAGGCTGCGTACTGGCTCAGGTCCGGCTCTGTTAACAGTTCTCGTAGCAACATTCCATCGGTCATATACTTAAGAATGGTCTTGTCGCTGGTATTGTCCTCAAATCGGATGGCATAACCAACTTCATTTCCGATCTTCGTACCCATTTCATCCGCCACACGAGCAGCAACACTCATGGCAGCCACTCGTCGCGGCTGCGTGCAACCAATCTTGAGGCCATCCTTGGTGTAGCCGGCTTCATGGAGGTATTGTGGGATCTGTGTGGTCTTTCCGGAACCAGTTTCACCGACGATAATTAAAACTTGATGCTCTGCCACAGCCTGGATGATCTGATCACGGAATTGATAGATGGGCAAACTTTTGCGGGTTTCCTCCATCGAGAGGGCTTTCTTCTCTGCTGCATCGACCTGCTCCTTGAACCGCAGCTGCTCCTGCGTCATTGGCTTTTGCGTGCCCTCGAGTTTGGCGTCCATAACAAAGTTGATCTGCTGCGAATCATCGAAGACGTACTCATAGTCTCCCTCATCGACGAACTCGGCCTTTTTGATCTGTGCCTTGGCCTTGGCCGCCTGCTCCAGCTCCCACTCCTCGTGCTCTGTGACGAATCGCTCCTGGCCCAGCTCATCACGCTCGACGTACCGCTTGTACAGAGCCTCTTCCTTTTTCTTCCGATCGATTTTCCCCTTTTCCGTAATATAGTCGGATGGCATCTGATAGCCATCACGGTGATCGTCGATCCGAAGCCGTTCCTCGGCGAGACGAAGGACCTCTCGATTGCGCGCGAACTCCTCCTTCTCCTTGCGAGACAGATTGGGGTTTTCACGCAACTCCGCGGCCTCCTCTATAACCTGTCGTCGCAGTAGTGCTAACCGTTCTGCCTCGCGCTTCTTCAAGTATTCCTGTCGAGATCGTTCTCGCAGATCGGGCATCATCGAAGCCCGTGCGCTGGCATCATCGCCCAGCGCACGTCGCCGTGCAGCCTCGCCGTCGCGCGTCCGATCCTCAACAATCTTCTTCGACTTGCTACTTTCCTTATTAGCTAGTCGTTTGGCAAACTCGTCTCGTTCACGGAGATCTCGTTGGCGGTCGATCTCTTGCTTGGTCTCAGGGTCGATATCGATATCGTCGGCCAGTGACGCGGGATTGGGAGACGCAGAGCCATCATCGAGTCGTGTGCGCTTTGGGGGGGACTCTTCGAATTCCTTCGGGTAAATCTCGTTTTCGACAATCTGTTCGAGGATCTCTTCGTCGCCCCATCGATCGTCGAAGTCCTGAGAGCCCTTCTTGCGGAGCTTCCTCATCCGTGGCCGGTCGCGGCTCTCTGCATCGCGGCTTCGGTCTCGCTTTCGGCTGTCGTCCTTCTCCCCGCGACTCCGAGGCTCGGAGTCTCGCTTGCTGCTGCTCCTATCCTTGTCGCTGTCTCTGTCCCGTCTTTTCCGTCGCTCTCGGTCTGCCTCGACGTTGGTCGGTCCTAGCGATGGGGCGGGTTCTGGTTGGTCTTCGCCCATGTCTACCAGACGGTACTTCTTTTTCGTGGATTCCTTGCTCGTTGCGGGTTTGGAGGCAGAGGCGCTGGACTGTGCGCCCTTCCCCATGCGGGCATGGAGCTCTCGAGCAAAGGCACCAATTTCGCTGGCATCTATGCCATCCAGGAAGGACGTCAGGGTATCTTGGAGGGAGGAGGTCGACTTGGCTGAGCTGGCGGTCGCGAGTACAAAGTCGATTACGGTGGGCTCTGACGCGCCCGTTAGGCGGAAAAGATTTTCCGACACGAAATCTTTATTGTCCATGGTGCGTGATATGGGCTGTTATTATGGGAGAGAGAAAACTAAAAAGAAGTTGATGTGCAGGGCGGAGCTTCTTGAGGTGGAGGTAAGGTGCGGTTATTGTGAGTCGGGGTCTTGGAGACAGCGGCGCATGTTGCACAAAGTGTAGAGATCCAATAAGTCAAGCTCAATACCAGGGAAAGGGAGACTTGCAGAGCAGGGTGCCAAGTTTCGAGGTTAAAGATGGTTTGGAACAAGAAGTTGGAGAAGTTTGCGCCAAATGCCAAGAAATCCCGTGGCAATCCGAAATATATTTTGGGCTTGGGAGTATACAACGTGCGCTGTACAGACAAAAGATGAAGATAAATCATAGTTTTGTCTTGAATATAAGACCCCCGTACTCCCACGTAATCTTATGGAATTAAATATAGTGGGTAGGATAAAATACAGCGAGCTATGAAGTAACCAGCGTGTAATGGCCTTAAAAAAGGATATAGTGTATTGTTCCCCGAATTTCTTTAGGCAACTGATTGATTGTATCGAGCTGAAGCGACATCCATTGAGAGGCATTCTTGCCAGAAGGTATTCACATCACATATCCTCATTGGTTTTAATGTCGGCTTGCCTGAATATCGGATATTAAGGCTTGAACGCCAGTCTACGAGACAATGAAGTTATTGTCTTGTAATACGACTAACCATAGGTATAGATAACTAACGGTAGTTATACTTTGATTGGGAATAAACTATACAATTGAAGCAAGATGCTCGTAGGATATCATTTCAGTTCGTCATTGCAGTTACTACTACACAGACATGGAACCCAGGTGTTCAACCAAAGACACCAAACTAGCAGAGAAGATCACGCTCAAAGAAAATGGATAGGGGGTCATCACTGCCCAGAGGGCACACATTGATCATTAGAAAAGGCAAAAGAAAAGAGCAAAGATAGCAGTGACGTTTCCAAGCCAACTAAGCATGCCATCCGACCAGATATCAGCCCTGGAAAGAATTGTCGCCTCGGAGCGATTGACTCCCAAGGACAAGACGATAAGAGATATGTTGGAACGAATACAGCAGAATGCCAGAGTGACCTTGACCATTTCCAGAAGCAAGCATCCTGTGAGGTTGGTACATTTCTGGCATCTCGTAACGCTAGGTATCGAATCGTACAAAAGAAAAAAAAAAGATCCGTGAAACAGGGTTATAAACCCTTCGCAAACTCCAGTTGTGGTATCCGTGAACTGCTCAAGGTAACGCCCAGATCCAAACCTGATGGATCAATAACGCCCCAGCCCGCAATAGAAAACCCCAGCCTCAACCATTGAAGCATAGGATGGATGGGGGAATGATGTCGTGACGTGAAAACATGGCATCAAAGATGGGACAAAAAAAAAAAGGAAAAGGAAAATGGCCCAGGTCGAACACCGGGAAGAGGTGACAAAAGAAAAAAAGAAGGGCAGAGAAACAAGCAGGAACGCCCTCCGTATGCACAAGAGTAAAAGGGATATTAAATTACACGTCGATCATTTCGGCATCTTCGGCCAAGATCTCGTCAGCGGGGCCCCAGTTACCCTCGAAGACGGTGGCGCCAGCGCGGCGTCGTTGATTAATAAATTGCACTCCATAAGTTTCCAGGATTTGGTCAGCCGTGGGACGGTTCTGAGGCTCAGGGGATATCATCCATCGAACAATTCCGTCCAATGCCTGTGGGTGGCTGGCATCAACCATGAAGCTGGGTGGATCAATCAACTCCCCGCTTCGTGCGAGTCGTTGTGGTTTGGGGTTGCTCAATTGACGACTTGTCAGGAAATCATCGCCGAATTCGTTGTCACCCAGATCGGATGTACAAAGGTCCTCGAAAGATGACCCTTCCGAGATAGGATTTCCAGATGCATCGCGGAAGATGCTGGTCTCCGAGCTCCAGGTAAGGCTGGGCACATCGCTCATATCGCCGTTGCGGAGCTTCTGCCAAGATACCCCATTGTCAGGGAGTTCCACATTGCCGGCGATCTCAAAAATGATGAGACCAAGTGAGAAAATATCAGCGGGTTTGTCAAATCGGCCCATAAGAATCTCCGGTCCAATGTATTCGCGGTCTCCTTCGCCTTCAATACCATCCTCTGCAGGCCAGCGTGTCGCCATGCCAAAGTCACCAATCTTTAAAGTACCCTCAAAGGTGACCAGAATGTTAGCAGGTTTGAGGTCAAGATGGATGAATCCCTTGTCATGTATCTGCTTCAGTCCCAGAGACATCTCGAGCAAAATCTTCCAGATACGAAAGTCATCGAGTCGGGCCTTGAGACCGGCTTGTGCCAAGAAGCCATCCAGGCTACCCTCTTCGCAGAACTCTGTTTGAATGTACAGATGGCCATTGTTCTCCCAGCTGTCCATAAAGGAAATGACATGGTCACAGTTGGTCAAGGCCTTGAGAACTTCGACTTCGCGAATACGGCGCTCGCGATCCTTTAGCCCTAGATAGGGCTGCTTGCTCTTCTTGACAGCCCACACCTGATGGGGGAGAGAAGTTGGCGACCTTGGTTCACTTGATGGAAGAGAGAAGACAGATGGGAAGGACGCGTCATGAGGCTGCGCGACACGGAATACCTGAGAGAACTCGCCAGTTCCAATAAGCTCCACGCTGTCAAAGCGGGATGTCAAAGTGGGGTCGACATCTGGAACATGGTAGCCGCTAATTTGGAGACTGGGCCTTCTGAATGATGACCAGGAGTCTCGCGGTCCGGTTGGAGTGGCAGGAAGATCATGCTCCTGCACATACTGATGGTCACTGGGCACGGATATCGATAACCCACTCGGGTCGGGAGGGAAGTACTGGTCGCGGGGAGTGTGAGGTGATGCCTGCATAAGCTTCTCGTGCAGCGGACTCGCTGTCTCGGATAGTCGCTCTAGAGATTGGATTTGAGAAGTGGCGGGAGGGTAGGTGCGAGAGGGGAGGAAAGGCTGTTTGGTCGGTGTGGGAGGGAAGTCATCATTTGGAGGCTGGCTGTCGTGTCGGGAAGAGGGCGATTGGGCAAGAATCAATTCATCGCCATCAATGCTAGCGAAACTCCCACGCCGCGAGGTCTCAGGCCTATTGAAGCTGCTGCCGAATATTCCCATGCCCCGAGCGAAGGGACTTGGCTTGGGACGCGAGGTAGTAGGTGGGTTAAATGGAGAGACGGAAACGGCGTCTGATTGATGAACCAGACGTGACTTGTCGAATAATCGGTCCGGGGGGTTTGTCCCAGCGGTGAAAAGGTTGACAGGCCGTTTGCATGGTGTATCGGGCATGCTCTTGTTGAATGCGAGATTTTCCTCTGCATTGCGGTTTTTCTTGGAAATAAGACCAGTGGACATGAATGCCGCGGGTAGAGGCTTCACTAGCCTGAAGTTATCTGGGGTCGCAAAGGTTTCTGTGTCTTCTCCTGTGAGCCGAGTTACGGGGGCTGGACGAGTAGCCCCCGCGGGGAGAGATTTGGAGAAGTTGAACATTGTTCGCCGGCCTTCGGGCTTGTGGACAGGTTGATGTGTGGGCGAGTCCTCGATACTCGACCCAGAGGAGGACTGAGTGATGGTACGAGAGAGTGGGTGAGCAGTGGGTCGAGGGGGTTGAGTAGCGTTGACAGTGGGGTTGACGGGAGGGTTGGCGAAGGAGTTGGAGAAAAGAGGGCTGGCTGGCGGCTTAGGCGAGAAAATGTTCTCGCTGCCTGGCTGGAATAGGCTGCTATCAAATGACGTTCGCGTCCTAACCGACAATGGCGTCTCAGGTGGTGATGCGTCGGTCGAATCATCCAAAGCCCTTGGCCGTCCAAAGAGAGGTCGATCGCCGCGCTGCTGCAGAGTCGACCGTCGTAGAGAAGATGAGCGCTTAGGAATGGTCGCAAATGGACTGTGGGGCTGGACAGGCGTGGGGAAAGAGGGAATTTCGTTGCGCGTCGGAGATCCCTCTGGGGTGGTGTTCTCGACTTCGTTGTCGAAAATGCTAAATTCGGCGGAGAAATTGGAAGTGTGCACGCTGCGTCGTTTTGCAGAAGGGCTGCCTCGCGACGCTTGGTCCAAATTCATGATCCCGTCACTGCGCTTCAAGGGACTGCCCGTCGCAAAGCTGCCAAAGTTCCCACTACGTCGCTTTTCAACGCGCGACAAGCTTGAGCGCGGTGCAAAAGTCGATTCACCCTGAGGGGCAGGAGTAGTGTTAATAAAACAAGGGCTGTCTGGGGTCGTACTTTGACCTGGCGCGACGAGGTCATCGAGAGTCAAATCATTTTCTTCGCCAGAGGGTAAAGCGACGAGTTGAGTTGGAGTCGCGTTACCACTGTCACTTGAAACACTCAAAACGCGCTTGGGTGGACTGCGGGGTGATGTGCGTCGACGCATTGCTGGCCTAGTAATCTTCGCGCTAGGAGGGTAAGGGACGGCGAGAGGCGACTGGTGAGATTGATGAGATGGGAAGAGGACGAAATTGTTATGCGAAGCGCGCCGTGAGGGTGACAAGGGAGAAGAGATGTAAGTGGATTTGGAGGGGGAATGAGCACGCGGGTTGAGGAAGAAGTTCGAACTCTTGGATGGTGAGCGCGAAAGAGAGCGCCTCAGTTGGCGGATAGCAGAGCTCGCGTCAACGTGATGGATTCCCGAGTGCGATGGCAGATGAAGTGTGCCACCGGAGTCCCGGTGCGGCGAAAAGGTTGCAACCATGATCGGGGGAATGTGTCCACGTGCCGCACAATGAGTCCAGAATGAAGAGCGCGTCGCAAACTAAATGCGCTCTGGATATCTTAAAAGGAAATGTAGATACCCAGAGATTCGAGATTTGAAAACTCAAGATGGAGAGATTTAGAGAAGCTTCCCAAGGTCCCAAGGGTTTGACGCGTTCAAATCAACAACGCGTCCAGAAAAGGGAAAGATAGGAAGACGAGGAGCCAAGGATACCTTCGATATTCGAAGAATATGATATCCGAAGGAAGGCACGCGGAATGGAATGTTTTCCAAACTGATCAAATGCGAGTGGCGAATTCAAGACTGAGTCACACCACTTCCATATCGGATTCCAACCTTGAAAGGAATTCGACTTCTCTCCTAGGGACAAGCACGAACGCGTGTGTCTGCGTGCCTGCGTGCCTGCGATGTTTCACCTTGATGCCTTTTGATACCCGAGGATAACCAGATCAAGGCGTGTGGAATGTTTCACTTGCAAGTACACTCTTGTAAAAGTAGTGTCAAGGGTGTGTCGGAACCTTTTCTTCCAACAAAAAAGAAGGTCGCAAGGGGTAATTCCCCCAATTCAAAAGGTGAGGTCAGCCCACGAGGGCGCGAAAGTGAATCGAGGAGGGGTTGGGTATTGGTATGTGATTGTGTCCAACGATCGGGAATCGAGAGTTGGGCTTTAACAAACCACTTGGGGATACCAAAGAATGTTGCGAAAATCAACTATCCAGACGTTTGTATTCTAAAGTGTTCAGGGTGTTCGGGTGTGTTATAGAAATAAAGACCAAACCGATTAACGCGCAGTCGCGTTGTTGATCGTTGGATGCCCGATTTGGATTAGGGTGACGCGTGATTGTGACAACAAATATTAGGTAAGCAATAAACAATAAATAGCCCTATATAAAACCATGGCATCGAGACAAGAACTTCTTATAACCCATGAAAAATAATAATATCCCAATGAAAATGCCAGCAAACTCAGCTCTAAGATAACCCAAATCCAAATTTAAGCCCATATGTACGCTGTACTCCGTCCTTGGGGAACACTGCGCGTCTTCGATTTTCATTCGCACGGCCCCTGCACTGACGCCACAATAAACAAAGGGAGGGGTATATGCCGCTTCTCTTCTTTTTCTTATTTTCAATCAGGGTACGGAGTACGGAGTGCTAGTATACATATTGTTATTTTCAGTCGGTGCTCTAACCTAAAGAAAAAGAAAAAGAAAGAGAAGAACAACTTCAAGTCGGCGATAGGCCACGCGAAATCCCCCTTGCTTAAACCTATGCATCGCACTGCCTCTTATATTCCATATCTGATTCATCAGTCCTATTCTTGGGGGAATGTGAAAAAAAGGCTAGTACTTGGTCCAATGTCAACGAGAGGGATATATATGTATACCAAAAAAAGAAAACCCGGTCCATGTTGTACCTATAACACCCTATACGAGACTATACTAACTATGTACTACACCCAAACATCTATGTTATCTCCTGCAGTTCGAAAAGATAAAAAGATCCCCGGGCCCGTCCCGTCCGTGGGTCCCGCCGTCACTCGTCAAATCAAAGTTCGATAATTCGATTGGGAAAAGCAACATATACACATTCAACGCCTCATATGCAACGAGTATGATGAGCCAGACAGCAAGAGCAAATAGCACAAAAAAAAAGGTAACGAAAAAGAAGAGTATCCACATGAAAAAAGAAAAAAAAAACGATCTTGGTCTACTCTACTTCATACGCCGTGGAATCGCTCCGGGATACTCTTCCACCCCTCCTCTCTTCCATCCCTAGCATCACTAGATATTCTATATCGATTCGAAGCCTGTCACCAATGCCGACATCTCCCGTTGCATAGCGCCGATCACAGTTTCCGCTGTATCTCGGTCAAGACGAGATTCTGGTGCGAAAAGCCCAAAGTCTAACCGACCATTACGGATGGCGGCTTCCACGTCGATCGTAGACTGTTGAAATGTAAGCAATTGTATAAGGCTCAATTACCCGTTAGGATAAAGTGATGTGCATTCCCCCACTTACCTGGAAGATGTCTTGAGTAGCCGCCGTTGAGGCGCTTGGATGCTCGAGGCCTGGGATCGTCTCGGCTGCACCAGGTGGCGCTACACCATTGCCATTAATCGGAATTGGGTCATTTTTCGAAACCGGGGCTGCCCCGCTAAGATCTTCAAACTCCTCGCGTTGAATTGCTGTAAAAGAAAACTTTGCGTGGTCACAGTTGCCGGGTACTTTCAATTCTTGCTCAGGGAGTCGCAGGAAATTGACGCAGGTGTCGATTCGGATGCCCGTCCATTCGGCAATTTCCAGGAGAGAAACGCCCGAATATTCGGGTCGGCTGATCTCGTTGATTTCAGTCTGAATTCTGCGGGCGGCGTCAAGGAGGGTGTCGTTGGAATCGCTGAGTTTGTCATCCAGTCGTAGTGGAACAATGTTAACGGTGGGAATAACAGATTCGGCTAAACCCTCAATGGAATGAGATCGATTGGCAAGGTACAGTCCAACAGTTAACCGCCTGCGAGACCCTGCGCCATTTGTGGTTTCAGCTGCACCGAATTGCTGCAAATGCACTCGTGCATAGACGGCTAAAAAGACGGTCTGAATGCTAAGGCCCCGGCGCTTGGCAACCTTTTCGACACTGGCCATATTTGAAACCAGGCCCGGTCGGTAGTGATGTTGCACAGAGCCGAAGCAATGCCCTCGTTTTACCGCCGTTGAGATTTGGCCTAGATACTTTTGCCAGAATTGCCGCCGGACATCCACGGGCGAATGAACATATTGGAATGCCACGAGCTGTGCGAGATCAAGGTCGGGGTTTGGTTTGACAACATCCTCTTGGCCGCAGTGCGTAACAAGTCTGTTCAGTATATGGGGTAAACTGACAGCGTCGTACAATGCATGGTGGATTTGCAGAATAAGCGCCGTTCCCTGGTTCGTTTGACAGGCATGCAGTGCGACCGGCACTACCCCAAATTCTTGCTTAGGGCTTCTTGAAACAAGATGCCGATCAAACTTGGAATGCCAGATCACCGGAATGTGCACAACCTCAAACTCGATCTGCATATAGGGTAATAGCGGAGAGTCGGAAGTGGGAACGAATACCGTCCGAAGCATTGGGGTTTGGTCTATGACCCGAGCCCAGGCCCGATCGAGTACTTCAGGGCTCAATTGTCGTGATGTCAGATAGTAAAACTCAGGATAGAATATCTCTGGATTCAGAATGTGCATTGAGAGGAAATAGGTTTGCCCTGCAGTTGTGGGGAACACCTTTCGTACTAGTTGCAAATCAATACCATGTGACTGTAGCAGTCCCGCCACATCGATGCCATCGAGTGAATCGTGGAGAATGCTTGATATATTTGTGAGCGAGACCTCCGTTAGGCCGCTGTTGGCTGCTTTGGCCATGTTTTCAACAGTACCAGCCCGAAGCATGTCACTGACCGCAAGCTTGACGGACTGTTTCTTCAGGAGTGCAGCCACCTTGATGGCGCTGATACTGTCCAGGCCAAGCTCGAAGATGGTGGAGCTCTTGTCAATGGAATCATCAGGTACCCCGGATGCAATAGAAAGAATTTTGCGGATCTTTGACTCAATCGGCGACCATTCCGCCTGATCGAGTGTCCCGGGCACTGCTTCAGGCTCGATATTTTGTTCAGACTCATCCTGGAAAGCGGCGCTTCCACAAATCTTCACTCCCTCACTGGTAAAATCCACAGTCTGTTCAGATGGACCATCGATGATAGACGAAAGGATATCGCTCATCTGCTCCAACAGCACAAGAGTATCTTGATACCCAGTAACATTTCCACGACAAGCAACTCGTCCAACTAGATCCTCCCCGACACCTTCAACTTCAGCGCAAACAGGGTATTCAACTTCGGCTGCTCCGCCAGTAGATTTATATAAGACTTGCCTAGGCTCATTCTGGACAATTTCGACCGGTCTCTTCTGATACATGAAAAGCGTATCGAACAATGCCCGCGATCCCGTATCTGGTCTGGCGCGCCGAAGCGGGAAATGCTGATGCTCCGACATGGCGAGGAGAGCCTCCTGCACATATTTCACCAATTCTACCCGCGTCCCATGAAGAATAACTCGCATGGCGACAGTGTTCATAGTCGGGAACATCACGTGCTCAGAGTTAGCCACATTCCGACCGGAAAGGACAAGCCCAAATACCACATCTAGCTTCTTGACATGCCTAGCAAGGACAAGAGACCAGCAGCCGACAAGAAGCGCCTGGAGGGTAATGCCATGACGTTTGCAGAACATCTCCGCCTTGGACATTGGAACGGATAATGATTGTTCTGCTCGGTGAACGACAACCGAGCTATTCTCCGCATGTTCCATAGGAGAGAATGACACCGGGGTGAATTTGGATAGCGTTGCTCGCCAGAATCTGAGGGCTTCGTCGCCAGACGAGGCAATGATTTGCCCGAGAATTTCATCGGCTGGCGGGCGAGAACACTCTACACCAGCATACGATTTGGCAACGTCTTCGTGGAGCAGATTGATTGACCAACCATCATAGAGAGCATGCGAAATTGACAAAACAAGGTACCGCCTATCCCCTTCCACTGCAATGGTGATAGAGAGCAAGGGACAGCCTGCCGGCTTATTGTGGACCCTTGAGCGCTGAGTCTTTATAACGGATTCCACGGAGACGCCGTGTAGATGGATAGTCTTGAGGTCAATTTGATCCTCGTTGTGAACTATTTGGGCGTATGAAACAGGAATCTTCGGATCCCAGACTTCAACAAATGAAGTACGGAGGATAGGGTGAGCTCTAACGACAGCTCTCCATGCCCGCTCCATCTTTTCAATGTCTACATCTGGCTCAAGCTCGAGGATCTCGTGGTTGTAATAATGCTTGTACCCAGAGGCACACATTTCAGCGACCATAGCTTCTTGGATGGGTGTGGCTGGTAAGACTCGAATCGCGCTCGGGGGGAGAAGACCTTCAGCCCCGAGGAACTCGGTCA